TTCACAAACCGCCAACAGGCAGCCAGTAGTATAGCATTGTGCAATAATTTACCGTACTAACAACACAGGTATTATTGCACTTCTTGAGACGCCCATCTTTCAAGTAAATAAGGGTACAACCCTTGTTGCATTACAGTTGATTTGGTAATGTGTCCGGGTTTCCATTCAATCAAAATAATCTGGTGAAACTTGAGTCTATTACTATCTAAGCTATCAAGTTTATCAGTCGGACACGCTGTTTGCTTTTACGGCACAAATACCCCTTATACCTTCTATTCTACCGCAGACATACGCCATGCCCGGTTTGCAATGGCGGCAGTCAGTCTCTCTGAACTATCGGAGCTGAACTGTCTGGCTAGTTCAAACGGCAGCTGCTCTCCAGCTCTCACGTGCCAGTGCGTTTGTGCGCCTGCATCCACCTAGCCAATCAACGGCATAGTTGGTTTGTAAGGTTAGGAGCGCGCGCGCGCGAGCGCTAAGATCAATCGATGAAGTACAAGACGGCGGCAAAGGCTGCGCATGAATGCGGCCTGTTTTTACGCAGTGCGCGTGCGGGCGGACTCGCTGCTACCAACGCCGTGCGCGGTGCAATACCAGTCAAGTTTGGCATGGCACGTACGCCCCACGTTTTTTCTGGCACAGCGAAAAATACACCAACATCACGGTTAGGCCAGTTTTCGCGTAGAAACTTCCGACATTGAACCCGCGCCTTTCTCGACCTAGTTTAGTCTCCTGTGAACGAGCAAAATTTACTGGAATGTACAAACGTAGTCGCGGAAAGGCTAACATCACGCTAGGATAAGCGAAAGTCTTTTTTCGATACATATTTACATTCTAGTAAGACCGCAGCAATTTGAAAGGTTTCGCGCAGATCCAACGCCCACTATCGCTATGTGGCGTTTTCGGTAAAAATACATCCGGTATATCCCTCCAGGGATGATATCTAAATGAGTATTCGTGAACCCCCTAATGCACGTTGCAGTGACGGAATTTTGTCCATTAAATGGAACCGCAGTATTTCTAACGTGTTTGGACAACACTGGTGGTTAGCTCAGTGTGAAGCGTCTAGGCCCACAGGGATTCCGTAGTGAAAAATTTTTATATTCGAATAAGTGACATGCGCCGATGTGCGTGTTCGTTCTGATGCGGTTGGAGAAGAGACAATATGATAGCTAGGGGACAAAAAAAACGAGCGCTCGCCCGTATAGCCCCACGCAGTTGACTGATTACCCTTTCTGATAATTACCTCTTACTTTTTCACCTTTTTCTTCTCTAGACTTCTTTTTGAGTGTGAAAGTGACTTTCGTGATTAAACAGTTCCCTTTCTCCTAGTCCAGTAAGTATTTGGGAGTAAATATCGGCTTTTATTACTAAAACGACGGGGGACCCGCCGATTAACCGAACTCCTCGCAGCTGCATGCAGCGGTTGAATACCAGCGAAACACATGTTTAGACTTTTAGCTGGTACCTGTGATGTTAGTATAATAAATCATGCAACACGTATACTTTGATGACTGTCCGTTGACAGTTTATGAATATTGCGCAGTTATCCCATTGAAGCCGATGGATTTATGCGCAGATATTCGCACTAGATTTCAGACTAGGCTTATGGGACACACTTCAGAAGAATTTACTCCATGTTAATGCATTAATTTTTGAGATTAAAAACCGACATATCTATAAGAAAGTACCAAGAGAACCCTGGGGGACTCTCTGGTGAGCCGAACCCTCGCATCTGCGTCATGCAATAGCAGAATACGGTTGAAACACGGGTCTGGGCTTTTAGCTAGTACCTGTGCTCTCAGTATGGTAAATCATGCCAGAAGTGTAAAAAAGAACCTGTTTGGCGAAGACTAGAGAGGAAGAATCGTTAAACTATCTCTTGACTGAATTTGGGGCCTTTAACAGGCAATAGTAGACCTAGGTAATAAGCTGTTTGGATTCAGTTTCCCAAAAAGTAATTTCACTGACCTTTTGCAGAAAAGGACGCCTGCGATTTCGGTAGAGGGTCTTTGACGTTAACCAACCTTTGATTTCCCTCCACCTTCTTCTGTAATGGGCACCACCTGGTGTGATTGTGTGGGTCACGAAACTTATGACATCTCGACTATGTCCTCCGTGTGTCCACGGTGATGCCCATTACAGAGGAAGGTGGATGCAAGTCAGAGGTTGGTTAAAGTTAAAGACCCTCTACCGAAATCGCAGGCGTCCTTTTCTGGCAAAACGTCAGTGAAACTACTTTTTGGGAAACTGAATCCAAACAGCTTATTACCTAGGTCTACTATTGCCTGTGTGGCTGCTGGCGGTGCTCGGGAGAGAGAGAGAGCTCTAAGGCACAACGGGACGAGTGAGTTCTATAGCGCGATCGGTGGGAGCCCTCCTACCATTGTATATAACCGATCACAATCGACAGAACAACAAACCCGTGGCTCGCTGGTTAAGGGCATTGGACTTCTAACAGGTCGCGGGATGGAGCCCTATGTTTTCCACACTTCGGGGTTGGGTATGACTGGCTGACGACGGTTAATAAGCCAGAAATGGCAATTCCAGTCTCCCCCGTCTTTGTCGCTAATGCTATTCTACGTATACTGGCAGTCCGCGCCAAACGTATCGATGGACCTTAGTGGATACTCCTGCTTCGCTCTGTCTCGGTACCCAGCTCCCATCTGTGGCTCCACGAAACCGCGCTCCGAACGACGGCCGCACCACGGTAATCGTCCTCGATCATCAGGCTAACCGGATGAGTGTTCGGCGTGTCTGTCTTCACGCCCGGTAGTCCCCGAACAAATTCCTCTCCACCCCAAAACATAAAAAACCTAACGAGAGGACGACACGCAAAAGGCGGTCTACATTAATTCGACTCGCCTTCCCATGAAACAAAAGTCGTGACTCATAGCAGAGTTTGGCAGCCGTCTGGGACGACTAAGCAGCACTATTTAAGGGATAAAAAGGTGCCCTACAAACTGCTGGTAAAATGCTGTCAGTAAACGGACCGTGGTTTGTGAACGCGAAAACTGAAGTTGAAAAGCTGCAGCAAGCGACAGTCCCTGTCCCCATCACTGTGGGCCCCCAACGGCTACCAGAATGACACTGCTCACTCTGATAGTCTAAAATGCTCAGTCTTTTAAAAAAATCAGACGGCAAACCGTCCTGAAAGGAGGACGGCTCTATTTGCCGAAGAATTAGCCCGTTATAAAGTGGTCATTGCGGCTCTCGGTGAGATCCGCTTCTGCATGCAGGGCCAACTGGAGGTGGGTGTCGGAAACACCTGCTTACGGAACAGACGTCCAAAGGCAGCTCGATGAGAAGCTGGTGTCGCCTTCGCCATCAGGAACGTCGTTAGATAGCAGTTTTGCCTGTCATAGGGCGTCAGTGACCATCCTGCAGGAACAAATTCGCCATCATCGTCGGCGCCTACGTCCTCTCAATGAGCAATTTCGACGACGTGCAGAACAAGTTCTACAACGACTTGCATGCCCTACTAGCAACTGTACTGAGGTCGGACGAACTGATTGTCTTTGGTGACCTTGATGCCGGCGTCGGCACAAACCATGCTGCCTGGTAAGAGTGCTCGGTCGTCATGGGATCGGCAGCTGCAACATCAATGGCCTTTTCGTCAAACAGGCCTGCAAGGAACACAGCCTTCTCCTAATCAACACCATTTTCCGTATCTCAATGAAGGCGACGTGGGTGCACCTCCGTTATCATCACTGGCATCTGCTGGACAACGTCCTAATCTGGAGGTGTGATCAGCATTACTTGCTCGTAACTAAGGCGGTGTGCAGTGCTGACTGTTGGGTCATCGCCTGGTCGTCTCCAAGATGAGGCCCCAACTGCAACCGCGCAGATGACCGCAAAGTTAGTTAAATACTGTACTTTTTAATACGGCCGAGCGTCCGTTAGATCTTAACAATTATATTAACTCCAAACTGGAAGGAATGCAAATCTTAGGGGCGCATCCCAATGTCAGAACCCAGTGGAGAAGGCTGCAAAATACCATCCAGGCAACCGCGGTGGAAGCCCTCAGCTGCACACGCCGTCAGCACCAGGATTGGTTTACTGACGAAGAAGCCCACCTTCTCTCCTAGAAACACAGTCTGCACGCGACCTACACCATCGAAAGCAACAATACCAATCCCATTGTCAACGTCTGGTACAGTAGAGACTGAGGAAGAGGTAGAACGACTGACTGACTGCACCACTTCTGAGCGCAGATAAGCGACCTTCGTGACGCAGAAGTCATGGATTCTGGAGTGCTGGGCCGCGCACTAACAGGACGTCGACAATATGCGAAGCAATCAACCGACTTTTTCAAGTGGACAACAGTCACGACCTCAATCACCCGCCACCTCTCCTTGAGACAATTAAAGCAGTTCAACAGCTTTCCAGTGGAAAAGCACCAGGATCAGATGCAATTCCAGGCGAAGTCTAGGACTACGGCGACCCACAACTCGTAGAAAAGCTTACCTCGCTATTCCAGGAGATGTGGCGACAAGGATACACCTCCAGAACCTCAAGGCTGCCATCATTGTGCACATCTACAAATACACGGATAAGGAAGAGGAAGGTGACAATCACAGAGGCATCTCCCTTGCAGCATCGCAGGAAAAATGTCCTCCGTGCTTTACTCAATCGCCTGAACGCGCATCCGGTGTCGGGATGCCTTTAATAGAAGTGGTGCGGATTCCGAAAACACCGCGGAACCACAGACATGATCTTCGCGACCCGCCAACTGCAGGAAAAGTGCCAGAAAGTGAGGACCAACCTTTACACCGCATTCGTCAATCTGACGAAAGCTCTCGACATGACCAATCCCGTGGACTCTGGAGGACCATGATGGAATTCGATGTCCAGAATTATTTACTCAACTGGTGAGATACCCTCAGGACGTGATGATGGCTCACGTCACGGACAACGAGGTAATTCCTGAAGCACTCGCGGTGACTGATGGGGTAAACAGAGCTGTGTCCGCCCCACCCCATTCAGTGTCATGTTCTCCACCATGCTGATGGACGCCTACCTTAAGGAGCAGCCGAGGATCGGCATCAACTACTGAACCTAAACGCGTCTTTAAGAGTACCCACTGTGCGAGGATGACTGCGCACTAAATACTACAACGGAAGAGGACGTGCAGCAGTGTGGAGCTCCTAGCCTCCGGCTGCTCCAACTTCGGCCTGACCATCCGCACTGAGAAGACAATGGTCATGCACACGCTAGCGATAGGGCTGACTATGCCAAAACCTGTATCAACGTCAGTGGAACTCATCCCACAGCAGTCGGAAGGTTCGCGTACCTTGTAAGCACGATTTCAAGAGGCTTAAAGACTGACAACGAAATCTCAAGTCGGATTTTAAAGGCCAGTAAAGCTTTCGGTCGGGTAAAATCCTTCGCCTGGAATCGTCGCGGCATCCTACTTAACAGAAACTTGAAGATGTATGGGGCTGTTGGCCTGACAACCTTCTTGTACGGGGCGAAGACGTGAATTGCTAAGGAAGGCCAAGCAAGAAGACTCGACCCTTTTCACCTCAGGTGACTCCAAGGAATACCGAAGAAGAGGTAAGAAAGGATCCCAATGAAATCCTGGAGGGAACCGACGTCATCGGCTTATAAACTTTGGCCGGAATCGCGTCGGATCCCGGCGTTGTCCCGCTAGAGAGTTAGTGCACGGCTCGTATTGTTTCTGGAAGAGAAGGCAGGAGGTCCAGGTAGTCGTTTGTTTTCACTTGAGGGTGCCAGTCGTTGGCGACGTCGGAGATTGTAGATGGGCGACTGAGAGGGCTACTCAATTGCTCAACCCAGCGCTTCAGAATCTGTGATTTCTTCGCCAGAATCTTTGTCCCATCGGAGCTGAGAAGCGGTGAGGTTTCTTTGGTTGGGGGCCGTAAAGCGCCTCCTTGTGTGAGGCGAAGTTCTTTGTTTCATTGTGATCAGCATACTCCTGGATTTCCTTGGCCTTGCACGTCATTAAGTCGCTCTGCATCTCCCACAGTCGTTGTTGAACGAGGCGGCGACATTGGTAGAAGACGACTTTGCTTACACAGGCACGATGGTCAATTTGGGCCTTGTTAATCTTATGCTTTTCGGTGGGCAGGTTGTCGATGTCTGGGTCGTCGTCTAAACAGTCCTGGTGTCGGCGACGTGCACGTCCGAGGACACCCAGAGCCGTGAATTGGATGGTATTCCGCAGTTGATACCACCGGGTCTACGCCGTGACGTTGTCGTCCGGGGCCGGCAGTTCTTCCAGGTGCTGGGCTAACTGATTACCGAAATGTAGGCGGTGAGCAGGAAAATTCAACAAAACAGTATATAGCTTGTGGCCGTCTGCTAGGCTGCAGATGGAGCTTCATCTTCGGGATGACAAGACCGTGATCCGTCCATCCATCAGTGTTGCATATCGCCTTAGTCACCAGCACGTCCTGTCGATCCCACCTCCGGAAGGGAACGTAGCCAAGTAGCTGCCAGCGCCGCGATCGGGGGTGCATCCGGGTCACCTTCTTCCGCACCGGAAGGCGAAAGATGGTGTTCTTCACAGGTTCGTAGGGGAAGGCCATTGTCGTTGCAGCCGCCGATCCCGTGAAAACCCAACACCCCCTACAGGCAGCGCAGTCCGTCTCGACGCGCGCATTAAAGTCGCCAAGGACAACCAGCTTGTCCGCCTTCGGCACAGATGTCAGGAGTGCGTGCAAATTTTGTAGAATTTGTCCTTCGCCTCATCAGAGCTGGCCATTGGTGTGGCGTAGGCGCTGATGATGGTGGTGAATTGGGATCCCCAAAGAGGCAGACGCCGGCTCATCAGTCGGTTGTTGATGTCCCGCAGCAGACAGAGCAGTCGTCCCACGATGTCGTTCTGGATGGCAAAGGCGACGCCTGCGTCACATCGCTCTGTCTTTAGACGGCCGTTCCAGAAGAAGGTTTAACTGGTCCCCGCCTCCTCTAGTCGGTCCTATTCGGAGAAGTGGGTCTCGCTGAGAACGATGGCCATCTTGTAGCGCGCCAGTTCTCAAACGACTAGTGTAGTCCTTCGTTCCGGCTGATTGCCTCTCGGGAGAAAACTCACTCTAACAGCCTATGGGACGGAGCGGGGGCCATGGTGACGTGAGCTGTCGTTTGTTTGACTGTCTTGACCGCGAGTTGTATATCTGTGAGCCACGTGACCCCAGCATTCGTCTGACATCTTTCCTAGCCTTTGCCCGCTGCGGGTCAGGCAGCGCCGTCTCCCACGAGGGCTGCTAAGACATCTCTTGTCTTTGTCGGTAATATCATTCTGCACATCCCGGATGGCTGCCGAACACTACCATGGGTCCACGGTCCTCGTCAACCACAGTAGCCTGACCATGGAGGAAACCGTCCTATCTTGGGATCACCATATCAAGAGGCACCAAATTCGATGTCACAATTGTAACTAGATAGACATTTTGAAGTCTCTGAATCAACGGAGTTCAGGGGTACCCTCGCACAGAACCAGTAGGCGTGGAAACTTGGGGCTAACAAAATACAAAAAACCCAGGGGAAGTGTTAAAAACGTAAAGCCTTTGTACTGAGGGACAATGCAAACGGCCAACCTCTTCCCATGTGTCTCCCACTACCAACGCATATTCGATGACAGCATTGGCCTTGCGGTAAACCATACGCATCGCAACACTGTCTGTGGTCTGGCAATCGTAAGCGACAAGGTCAATCGCTCTCCCGGAGACGCCAAGACGACCAGCGGGCGGTGGCTGAAAAAGCTAAACGGCCCGTCCGCGCGTGCCGCGCACGATCCAGCCCTCAGCTCCACATCAACCGGACTTTGGGGAGGGATACCCCTGACCTTCCGACCGCACAAGGTCCTTGGGCGAGGTACCATAACACCGCGGAAAACACTCAATTACTTGGATTGCCTCGACCGACTGAAATCAAGACAGTGACGAAGAGTGTGGGAAGACAGTAAGGGTGACAATGTCAGCTATAGAAGAGATAAGGCGGCAGCAGGAATTTGCGCACAGAGGGTCCAAGTGTCTAAGGACATGCGCGAAAAACGGGATGAAGGTAACGTGTAAAACCGTGGGGACGGACGCGTACGGTTAAAGAACGCGGGCAACACCCTCCCGACTCATCTGCCCGACAGTAGTCGACGGAGTGCTGCGCTGCGCGGGGAGGAAGCACTAATGAAGGAACCCAATGGAAGACGAGAGTAAATGCGGTCTCTCCGTCTATTAAACAGACCCGTCCGTCCCGAATTCCCGGTTTAACGACTGGTTCGGAGGGCTATCAAGGGGAGCTCACACGGCCAGCCAAGAGATGTACGCTAGCGAGCAAATGGTCGGAAAACTCAAGGTGGTGAACAAGAGACTAACAAATCCTTGATGAGCACCAAGACATCCCTACCTCAAAGGGACGAACAAACCACCAGCACCTGCAGGATTGGTAAAGACGTTGACGGAGACGGCACTAAACCAAAAGCTCCACGATAGGAGGGAAATGTAAAAGAAGTCGTTCTAGTATGCCAAAATTTTGACGTTATCAAAAGTTTAATTAATCATCTCTGTACAACCCGAAAACGCATCACAGCTTGCAATACAAAGGCATCTGTTTACACTGTACATTATAAAATTCGGCAGTTAGGGTTGAGGTAAAATCTACTGTCGGGTGGATGAGGTCAGTCTTGGGTCGCGTGAGAGGGAAGGGGGGCTTGGGGTGGGGTCTACAGGCGGAGGTATAATTGGGGGTGGGATTATGCTCACGGGAGGTTGTAAAACAGGTGCTGGGAGGGAGGAGTAGGGGCCTGGCGCATGCGACCAGGGTGGGTGGAAAGGGGGGTGGCCTGTTGCGGGAGGGGGTGGGGGCAAGGTAAATTCATTATTACCGAACGCAGGTGGTCTTCTGCCGTAGTTTAACATCTGGGGTGGTTGATTGGCAAAGTTTGCGGCAGGCCTGTTGAAAGCGTTATTGAAGCGATCGTACCGTCTGCAAATGGATCGTAAAAAACTATGAAATGAGATCTCACATTTCTTAATTGAAGCAAACAGGAAACTGCATGCCAACTTGCTGCTGCAATATCCGAATCGATTACAGTTACAATCAGACGCTCCTGGGAGTATACACTCGCTCCGTACTTGACGGGAAACCCAAAACCAACTGATATACATGGAAAATAAGTGCAGGTGAAGAGTGCTATTCTAGCTTGTAAAATAGTAGATATATAACGGCCGACAAAACAAGTGGGCTAAAATTGCGAAAGTGGTAGAGACCACCGTCCTAAAACTGCTCTAGCAGCACGAGTGGCGTGAGGTCCAAAATTATTCAGGCGTGCGGATAAAATTGATATTCGCGCACTTGACTAGGACCGTACAGTAGCATTAGAGAAAGTTGAGATCACAAAACTACGTCAGGATGATAAAAACGTTGGTTCCTTAAAATACCCCGGACAAGTGGGAGTGACGGGGTGCGATTCTATGGGTTAGAATGTGGCAAACTAATCAAATTGGGCAGTGTGAGGTTCTCCTTCTCGGGTAACGGTTTAAGATCCCGAGTAAACTCACGTGGACGGCTCGTCAAACACATACTAGACCAAGCGCGTCTCTGTGGACGCGATCAGTCGAAAGAATTGGCCCGAGTGGGAAGAGGAGACCGTCGTGTGAAAAATAGGTCCAGTCAGCTGCCGGCTCAGCAATTAGTCCGACCCCAAGATTGATTTTTGACTTACTCTCGAAAAGTGCCGGCAAAAAGGCAAAAATTATGATGGCCGGTGGAGCGGCACCCTAGAAGCTGCGCACCTTTTTCGCCAAATTACATGCTGCGCAAAAAGACTGGTTCAGACGCGGATGTTCCTAAGAATTTTTCGCTGAAGAAACGCGACAACAGAGGTAAGAGTCAGTACTTCATACCCAGATGATTTCATTTGCTGATGCTCATCACCTGTGCGCTCGATGACGGCTCTTTGGAAAGAGGCATTAATTTAAATGAAAAAACATAAGGAACCAGTCATCGGAAATCCGAAGCAACTCCCCAGCCGTCGTAAATCACGTAAGAGGCGAATATGAGCGCTATTTTACAAAAACACTACAGAGTCCGACTTCGGAAAATCCGACTTATAAATGTATGCACCTTTGGGCAACAGCAGGTTGTGTTACCACACCTTTCAACTAAATTCGATTGTTCTACTAATGTGTTTATGAGAGGGACCATTCACAATTATTCTTTAAAAAAATAAGTCAGGGGGAGGCGTTCGACAACAGAAACAGTTCAGAGATATCAAGAAAGGAGACAAAGTAAACCAAAGTAAAGTAAACCAACATGCAGCCGGCGATCCTTGCAGCACGCATAGCATGATGAGTACCGACATGGCACAAACGGGTTTAACTACCCTTTCAGAAGAAACAAGTAAGTCACGGCGTACGGAATCGACAACGAAAGGCAATGCAAGCACATCGGGGTAACTATGAGATCAAAGACGAAGGAATTACAAAGAGGTGGAGCGAGAACATCATGCCAAATAATTTATCAATAGAAAAGTCATACTGAAACGACTCGATGCATGTGGTTATATCAAGTGTTGGGTAACACACAAAGGGAGACTTCCTGTAGCTATGGATTAATAAACTAAACAAGGCCTTCTAAAACAAATATAGTAGTTATCGATACATGCAAAACCCAGTGGCGTTAAACAACCTATCCTTACCCACCTTTGCGCAAATACAAAGTAACGATGCCAGCAGGGAATTTTTTGCCTTCTAACCTTAAATGTAATTAGCAGGTAAATTGTTCTAGACGACAAGGACGAGCCGAGAAGTAAGATCGCACCACACTACCAACGATCAACGAAAGGCGAGATTCAGGACAAAGGGGAGAGGCAGGGACAGGCACCTCTGACGATTGCAATGGACGAGTGGCGCTTAATTTAATTTTGCTGCGGGACGGCGTGTGCTCGCAAAACACAACAGAATTCCTTCAAAACAAAAAATTACCTGTCACTGTTGAATCCACATTGACCTGACCAGTCGCCACTTCTTCGATGGTGCGGCCGATCACGACGGGACCAGTCACCGTGACGGTCACTACCATGTCGAGACCGATCGGAATCGTGAGAACGCAAATCAGTAGACTTTCGGGAATAAGGATCAAAGCGAGCATCTGATGGGCGCTTGTGATAACCATCGTGACGAACGGACTTGTCCGGAGGGAATTCTTGGCGATATGGCCTTATTCCAGAGTCAGCGGCGGATTTCTCACTTTCATTACCAGGGGTGAAGTTTGTATTCCGGATTTTACCGTGTCCAGATCTGTCCGCCGACTCTTCCTCAGGGTGTTTTTGGCGCTTTTCCTTTTCGGAAGCTTTCCGTTCACGCTTGATTGCGGAACGATAGACGTGCTGCAACTCGGACGGACCCTTCTTTGAGAAGTTTTGCACAAATTCCCAAAAGTAGCTAAGAAAAGCGGTCGAAAGTTACAATCAACTTATTGAGAAAGCATATAAATGAAGTGGGTTTGGAGCCGAAAACTCACCCACGCCAGGAGTGTCTTTCATGTTTGTGAGTCATTTCTTTTGTTAATGAGCTAATATGGTCCCCGATCCTCATGATCGCCTTGTCGTACTGCTCGGAGTCTGTCATGTCTTCATCTTCGAAGTATTCCAGTAATTTCAACTGCTTTTTGACGGGATACAATTTCTTTTTGCACTATAAAGCAGAAGGAAAAATTTGCTCTTCTTAAACAGAATTGAACATAATTGAGTGGACTGCGCCGTGAAAATGAATTTACATTCTAAACACGACAGCTTCGTTGACGGCTTGTACTTAAAAGGTCTACTTCTTTTAAGGAAAACTTCGTACCCGTCCTTTCGGCAAGGACATGCGGTGCACGTGAGTCGACTGCTCCAACAGTGACAAAATGACGACTCGAACCAAGCGCAAAGCCTAAGGATTGAAGCATGAGTATCGAACTTGGATGTGTTCGGGGAAATGAATGGAAACCACACGACAAGACTTTAAAAAGGCGAAATATTTTGAATTTGCTAGCTGTGTGACAAGAGGCGGAGCCTAAGCAATGATGCAGATAAGCAGGATAGAGATTTTGACGATAAAAACTTACTTCATCGAAAAGGGGACCACGCATTTTGTGGAATTCTTCTTCTTCTTCTTTACTAATTTCCACAGGCTCCCGGTTAGCAGTAAAATGGAGAGGTTTTGATGTCTTTTCGCGCGTTTTTTTCTTCTTTTTCACTTCGATGGAACTTCGTTCTGCATCGTTTACAAGTGACGTCATCCTCGACCGCTTGAGCGTTCGGTGGGAGGCCTTCGGCTTAGTAATCACAGCGGAGAGATCAGGTTCGTCTGAGGAATCTGAGGAGGTGTCGTCGGACTCAACGAACTCATCAGATTTTGGATTCAGACCGGAACCGCGAGATGAATCCACATGCCGAGTTTCAGCAGTTGATCGCTTAGAGCGGCGTTTAGTCTCCGATTCAGTTTCGCAGGGAGCTTTCAGATTCAAACTGTGGCTCCGTGAATGGTCTCCTATCCCGTCAATTGTCGCTTTGTTCGCCTTCTTTGTGAGCATCTTCAGCAAGTAATCGACCCGTGTCCGGATGTGGCTTGCTTGTGGTCGCTCGGTCGCCGATAGTGGCAAAAGTTTGGAGCCCAAACCAAGATCCGCATCCAGTTTGATCGCCTCCCAGTTATCGTAGCCATGCTCATATACACCGACAAGGAGTCTGACGTCATCTTTGACGTCCCAAGGCATTGTCCAGTTCACTAATTTGGGCAAAAAGGGCAACTCGTAGTTCAGGCGGTCTTCCTTCGAGCCCGGAGGGAGACATTTGTGAAGAATTTCAAGATCGTTAAGGCTCTGTAGCAGTGGCCGAGCCGACACTGCCACATTGCCGTAATAATACACTGGGCCCTTGTTCTTCCCGTTTCCGTCAACGAGCTCTTCTGAAGGCCTGCTTAAAGAGGCTTCCATTGCCGCCCGACATCCTTTTAAAACTGATTCAACAACTTCACGAACTTCATTACTAGTCCGATCTGGTAGTTCGGCTTCGGCAGCAATGGTATCGATGCGCTCAAGGGGGTGAGCAAAACGTTTCACTGCTCTGACTAAGGCGCGAATTTCTTTGTCCGAAAACTTTGATGAGGGCTTTTCGTCTGTGGTGCGCTCGCTATCTGAGGACGACTCTGAATTGTTATAGTTGTCCAGACCAGCTTGGTAAGCTTTAACCTGACGGCGACGGCGAGGACCGAGCTCCAAATCTAGCAGAGACTGTTTGGCATTTTCAGTCTTTACCTGCTCCCGCAAGTCGGAGGGGATGATCTCAGACCAATTTTTCCCAACAACTGATCTGCCAGACTGTTCTATATGCACAGGCTTAGTCTCTTCGTCCGGTTCCAACTGATCTAGAGTTACAACGCTAAATGTGGAGAGGAGTGCGTTGGCTGGATTGTAAGCATCTTCTGTATTGTCTGCATCCCGAGTTTCCGCCCGTCTCAAAATATCGTCGATGTCCACCTCTACATCGGCGCCTTCCTCGTCGCATTGTTTAAAAAGATTCTCAGCACCGTGACGGAGGATTTCGGTTAGGAGTTGTCCCTTGGAATCGAATCTCCGACCAGGACCCCTATTGCCGCTTGATTCCATTCTTTGTATAACGAGGTGATCAAGCAACATCTTTCGGGTTGCGCTTTCAATGATTTTCTCCTCAACTGAGTCCTTTACAACAAGTCGGTAAACTGAGACTTGTTTGGTCTGGCCAATTCGGTGTGCCCTGGCCTGGGCTTGTATGTCGTTCTGAGGATTCCAATCAGAATCAAAAATTATGACCGTATCTGCGGTGGCCAAGTTTATACCTAAACCCCCAGCTCGTGTTGACAACAGAAAACAGAAGTCGGTGGAGCCCTCGGCGTTGAAATGGTCGAGAGACTGTTTTCGAAGCTCGCCGCGAATTGAACCGTCTAAACGTTGGAAACTCCATCCGCGCAATTGGAGGTATTCCGCTATGATGTCCAGCATGCGCACCATTTGGCTAAAAATTAGAACCCGGTGGCCTTTTGGTTTGAGTCGCAAAAGGAGCTTGTCAAGCAGCATTAGCTTTCCGCTCCCTCTAAGCACCGTTTTCAGAAGTTCCTCCCGATCCATTCGCAAAAGTTCGGAGTCCTTGGGAGGCGCAATAAGATTGGCGTGGTTACAACACTTCTTCAACTCCATGACAATGTTTATGAAGGAAGTTTTATGGCCGTGTGTGACTTTCATTAGACCATCATAGTTGCGCGCTAGTATGAGGCGGTAGATGGTCGACTGTCTCTTAGACATTTCCACACGAAGGACCTGTTCAGTTTTGGCCGGCAGTGACTGTTCCACATCCTTTTTCACACGACGCAACAAAAATGGCTCGAGCAACCGGTGTAAGCTCCGAATGGCGTCATAACTGTTGGTACCGTAGTTTTGGTCCTGGTTTTGTAGGCTATAATGGGCTTCAAAGCTATCCCAGTCGTCAAACTGACTAGGCATCAGAAAATGCAAAAGGGACCACAGTTCTTTGAGAGAGTTTTGAAGTGGTGTCCCTGTTATGAGGAGACGTGTATTCGTATCAAAAGAAAATAAGGACTTGTAGAGCTGGCTCGCGTCATTCTTTAGACGATGGGCCTCGTCTACAACGAGCACAGCCCAGGATACCTGGCTGAGCCAAGACTTGTCCTTGAGCAGAATTTCGTAGGTAGTTATGCACACATTAAATTTCAAAAGTTGCTGCCGGCGTCCACCACCGGAGGAAGTAGTCGACCACTCATGCTCGCGAATGAGTTGGCGTGAGATGTGATCACCAGTGTATGTGATGGCATTTAACTGAGGAGCCCAGAGTTCCAACTCCCGTTGCCAGCTACAGACAGTGCTCAGAGGGACAACCAGCAAAAAGGCGCCGCAGAGGCGATGTTCGTGGAAAAGATATGAGAGGAAACTCACAGCTTGCACCGTCTTTCCGAGGCCCATTTCATCGGCGAGAATAACGCTGTTTCCTCGAGTCCATGCGTGTGCAATCCAATTCAGACCCTTAAGTTGATAATCCCGCAGCTGAAGGCCCTCGACTCCAGCACCTATGTATTCTGGCTGTTCTACAAGACGAACGAATTTCGGCCGTATGCGCAAAGCTTCGTGCTTAGAATTTGGGAGGGCGGTGGACTTCAGCCTCTTATCATATGCCTCAACGGAATCCTTGAAGAGAAAGTTTATCACTCGCCCCGACTCCCAAGTACAGTAACGATAGTCAAGTCGCCGCCATTTGACAAGATAATCAAAGGAACCCTGCTCCTTGTCCCGGCTATGAGCCACGATACGATCGACGTTCATTTTTTCAGCCAACAGCAGTTCATTTCGTTCGTCCTCGTATACTAACGCATCTAGCTCATCTTGCTCGGCTCGTTTCTCTCGGTCTTGACGTTCTGTCATGGCAGCACGGTAGCTGTACAGCTTTTTCATACCGTCCACAGGACAACCGCGTTCGGGACTCAGAAGCGAAGCTTCAGTCTCCCATGTAGAATGGATGTGGCTCCAAGAACGCCACTTTATTAGGAACTGCAACTCCCCTTTCTCTTTTGACGGATCAAACCCCTCATTTGGATCGTGCTCCATACGACAGTTGTACAAGGTGGTGGGATTTCCAGTGGCACCGATTCGGCGGATGGCGTGGGTTAGGACCTCTTCAATGATGTCCACCTCATCGACGTCGAGATATTCAGTTTGTTTTTGTCTCGAATCGCTAGCTCCAGACTCCATCCCGTCGTCATCAGAAAAATTATCGCGCGGTGCGTAAGACATCGACTCAGCATCCGAGGTATCTGTGTTTTTGCCCTCATCCAGAATGTGTGCCCTAAAGAACAAGAGAATAACAAGCTTGAGGTCGAGACGATGCACAAAGCTGAGTCAGATGGACTGCGCAATGACGAAATTAAGCATGCTGATGAGGCGATTATGCGAATGTTGATGCGACGGTACTATAAATAATAAAGCATGGAAAAAATGTGTAGGGAGAACGGCGGTGGCGGAGGCTGCGGGACTATACAGCTAACCTGTCTGAGGTCTTGCCAGAAAGACGTATAAGGGAGCCCTTCGGTCTCTGAAGCAGGGCCTGATTTCTACAGGCGATCCAAATAACAGATCGTAAGAATTATGCAAAAACGTCAGAACAAAAAGTCAGGAAAAGGACATTGCAAACCTTGACGTGGGAAGCGATGAATTGCAGCCACTGCCAGACAGCCGTTTGCGACGAGTTGTGGTTTCACCCTCTTCGTTAGAGTCGCTCTCGTCCACGAAAGCACTTTTATAGCTGACTCTGATACCACGAGTTCGGTCGGAAGCCCTTCCGTTCTAATAAAGAAAACTGGTTTTCAGATAGGTTAGCAATGGAGTAAACAATTTTACGCAGTCATCTCAATCGCCTACCGAGTGCACTAATTGATAATAATCTGCATGGATTGCGGCGAATGGAGGTACGTTTATCGACAAACGGTGGAGGAACTTAGCACAGGTCTCGGTGCACTAAAACCCCAGCCTTTACAAAACTACTTGCTTACTCTTGTGTGTGAGCGGAGATTAAACACCTAACTTCCGTACAAAAGGATGGGATAGCCGGACAGATTTCATCTCGGTTCAAGTGTTCTGAATCGCGCCATAATCAAACACTTGAGAGAGACGGTTGTCTGAGCGCCATGTAAGCAAATATATTGAGATACAGGATATCCTACATCCCGGTAAATACCACTAGCTGCCTGTTGGCAGTTAATGAATAATATGCGGTTATCTCGCTGTGACCCAATTACTCATGCATCGAATTTCGGCCTACAACTATAGACCCTAGTTCAAACTGACCTAATACAAGCAAGCAGTTCATTGCTGAGGAAAGTAAAAAGCAACGATAAGCAGACATATGCCCAGTAACAATAACGGATTGACACTTCCGATGGCGCTTCCAAAAAGCACCTTTGATATCTTCAACGAACAAGGACAGTTGAAACCGTGCAACTGTGTACACACGTTTATTTCAAATGGCAATTGAGACTTGATAATGAAGACAGGGTTGGGCCGGTCACAACCAAGAACGCCGTTAAGAGGATTAACAAGACCTACGCGGATACCCCTACATGCTCTTGCAAGTTCTGTTACTACGACGGGCTAACGGGCTTTGCGGTCCATAGTGTCATGGGAAGGCGCAACTAATGCCATACTGTCAGATTCGATCTGCGATTGATTTTAATTTAGTAGTAGCCAATCCGTGGACACTGGGAACCAGCAGGCCTACCATCTGGGCTTGTAACTAATAAGGCACGTAGGTCGTCTCAATGAAATGCGAGTTGTCGTCGAAGACAACTGAAAATCTGATGTGACCTTAAGGTAAAGTGACGCTAGCTGGAATTAACTATTATATATACTCGTCATGAGTGGTTGAAAGACATGAAGACTACAAAAACTCTCATAGCCTACACTAGCTTTGGCCATTTTGAGCGATGAAAGCGAGGGAGTTTATACTGAACACGTTTTGTTTTGTCTCTGTTCAGGGCTGGAGACAAGTAGCTTCTGTGGGCAAGGGAGACCGGGGTGACCATTACTGGTTTATTAGCCGTCGTCAACCGCTAGTACCCAAACACGGGTTTGAGGGCACCCGATGGTCGAACCTAGGATCTTTTGGTTATTGGGCGTTAGTAATTCAACGACCTAACCATTAAGTTTCGGGTTCTTTCGACTTACTAATGCTCAATAACCAAAAGAACCTAGGTCCGACCATCAGGTGTCTTCAAATCTCGGGTTGGTTACGGTGGGCCGACGACGGTTAATAAGTCAGAAATGGCCATTCCCGTCTCCATCATCTTGGTCGGGTACCTCCGTTCTACGTACACCATTAGCAGCTATGCGACTGCCTGCAAGGGCTCCAGGTTGGACCCGAAGACACGACAGAACGAGCATGTCCCGTAACTTGATCGATGAGCTCCCCCCTATCACAAACAGCTTCTTGACGTTGTCAAGATTCGTCGTCTAGTTCCTTAGGCGGGAATGGCATCGTGTTGAACTCGATCGCCGTGCCAGAATTACATTCTCCGTAATAACCATTCTCCTGCAACCGATCTCACCTATTTTTTAACATTTCGCGGTACGAGTATCTGAGCAAGTAGGAGGAATGCCTAGTTAGTTTGCGCGAACTTCAAAAATTTCCGATGTCTAGGGTGTCCGTGTGGTGTTGAATGGCCTTAAAAGTTTGTCTGATCAGCACTGCTAAGGAATAGGGAGGCTGGGTCCGCAGAAGCGGATTTATGAAATCAACCGGACCATCTATGTAACAGACATCAAGTGCAATTTAAATACACACAAGAGCTAACTGTCATTTGGAATAGACGTTTAAGGAAAATGACAAGAACACACTTGTAAGTCGACACCTATGCTGTAAAAAGCCCTATAAGCAGTTTAATAACTTTAGTTAGCTAGGTCCACCCTAAGCGTCTGGCAACTACCTACTCCGGTGAGTTTTTTGGCAAAACTTGAGTCGGTCAGACTAAAAAATAGGTACTTAAGTGGCGGAAGACCTGAGTAGAATTGGCTCAGTTTGTTAGGGGTCATGTAAGTTGGTTTGAAAGGCAGACCATCCCCATACGGTTGGAATCTAGGGTAGGTAAAGTTTCAGGACGGGAGCCGCAAATGGCCGCACGGACGATGGTACCATCAGAATGATATTACCGACAAAGACAAGGGAGACTGGTATCATTATTTGTAGTCATCAATGTCAATTATCGGAGTCAGTGTCAGCAACTTCGCGTTTATAATTCTGTTCTTCATAGCTCCTTCTCAAACAAGAGCAACGACTTATAAGACCGAGTTCCCAAGATTTGTGCAAACATAAGACACTAAAAAAGAATCACGATCGGTTGATAGCCCGATATAATGAGGTCTAGGTCCAAAAAAATGGCTTACGTGATTTCTGCACACGTTGCCGTGACGCAAACTTTCGGCAGAGTTATCTTCACTCGAGTCAGATTCTGATGAAATGCGATTCCTTGGCCTCGGCTTTCGCTCATATTCAGCGGCCTTTGGTGGTTCAAAACGGGCAGGCTCACGCCTGCTGCGACTTGATCGTCTTATACCGTAGAGCTCTGGGTCACACTCGAAATCCTCGCGGAGCTATTGCGCGCACAAGACCAAGATGAGGAAGGGTTAACACTGTGCGTCTACCGCACGGTACACACAGATACTCCTACGCCAAGATTTAGCAAAACCAAAGGTCAAAAGCAAATCCTACGCTCGACAGGTGCACAACATGTACCTCACGAAGATTCTGCTTCCGGGATTTCTCTGTCTTTGAGGCAGGGCGTTGACTAAAAGACGGCAGCGAGTCGCCATCCTCACTCAAGGTACTTTGGAGAGTATGCTGGATGCAGTCGTCGTAGTCGTCGCTCCTGAATAAGAAAAGTCTGTTTAAGCCATTAATGTACAGTAGTAATTTTTTAAAAAATGTAAAGACCTTCGGTGCCGAATTTCTGTCTGAGTCAGTACCCAGACATCCAGTAAAAAGTACTATGCATGAACCAGACACAAAACACTATCGGCAATTGGCAGATGAAGAGCGACGTCAGGCTACCGCAGCGGTAAAACAGAACCCACTAAGAGCCCTGGTAACGGTCGAGCTATAAAAACATCAACTTCCCGTCATTCCAAAAACCCAGAAGCAGCAGTAGTTCAAGCACAGCACGGGCCTTGACGAGTTCTTAGACCATGGGTCGCCTCCCACGCTACCCACACTAACGGAGACCAGCATAAGCCCAGGTAATACACGCCAGTCGCCTAGTTCGTGGCTTCTAGGAGCCTGGACGATTCACAAGCAGGTAGATCGCCACAACAGATAGCCTATTAATACATCGCCGATTCGAGAGTGAATCCGCCAGGTACTTCGCCTTCTGTCTGGTCTTGACTGCGGTCATCAAGCGGATCAAGCAGATACAAGTAGGGTACAGAAGGATCTGGACCAACAAGCAGTCACGAGTGCTGACTGGGCGTTAGGTCTCAGGGTCACCGTCTCACATTGACCGGAAGACCCACGTCATTGCACGCCCTGAAATAGCTCAAGCTCATTCCGCCAGCAGCCGAATAAATGCACAACGCCGTCTCAAGACAATAGTAGTTAACTTCGTCAACCTGGTCCTCTCTTCTGACTCAGCATGATACCCACAACAACCTCCCAAGGCCTATTATTTTGGCACTTCCTTCTTCCCACTGTCCACCGCTGGACAACGGTTCTGCGGCGAGCTCACAGACCCGGAACTTGCATGTCCGTCATAACTGCGTTAAATTGATGATCTCCAAATTTCTATGGAATATGTCTGATGCGATGAATACGCAGGTGACCCCCTTCATTCCCGGACTGTAACGTTAGTTCTATCTGCGCTTCGCATTCGACCGTGGGGCCGCCACCCCATTCGGCGTAAAATACCGTAAACTGTCCCCAAACGCGCCCTCCCGCAAAAATGCCATCAGCCTCCAGGGCGTGGTTGAGGCGCGTCTCAGATACTTGCCTCCAACACCCTACTAAGCACGACCCCCGGCGCGATTAATACGCCGAAACATCCAAATGTCCCCCGCTCAAGTAACACTCAGACTGCGCCATCCACATGGTGCACAGCTGTGAAGCTGGCAACTCCCACGCAAGCTAGTTTGTGGCAATTTATGGACTTAACCTAGTCTGCGGCAGGTTCCCCGACTCCCCAGCTAGAACCTACTGCACAATCAGCCTGCCGGTAGACAGTGGTAGCAGGGGCAGTGGATCTTGCATCAGGCCTACCCTGCGCCATGGGAGAACGGTTCCGAGTTATGATAGGCACTTGACATCCCCATGTTCACACAAGTGGCCACATACGCATTCAGACCCATTTTAGTGCTGTGGAATACTTCGTCGGGCGATCCGTCACGAGCACGGCGGGCGAGTGCTAATAAGTTAATTCCAACTCGGAGCCCGTTAAAAAAACGCCAAAAACAATGACTGCTCGAAATATGGTCGATGCCACGTAAATTGAGGCTGGGCGCCGGGCGAACACCAAGGTTTGTTGTTGTCCACTCCGCAGAGAATCCGTCAAACCCCTTAAGGTGGAGTTGAGTACAACTTGCCGGTCGAAATTAGCGACACCGTAACAGCAGTTAAAAGCAGAAGTGAGAGCGTCAGATATGCCTGAAGTCTACACAAGTCGCGTAGTCAACACGGCGGCAGGTGGCACGAATGGTCGAAATCTGTCCCCCGCGGCTGACCCAGTGCGTGACAGCCAAGCGGCCACATGCTAACATCCCTAGGCAATTTCTGTACTGATGAGGAGAAATAGAACCGTTGGAATTCACGCGACAGTTGTATAATGACTGGATTTGGGTTAGAACGCAACCAAGGGATTTACTGTTGATCGAAGCGTAGTCCAAGAGCGACGTTTACTGTTTAGTGAAGATTGAAGGGCATGTGTACCTCCAAAACGATCACAGAGACGAAAAGGCTGTTGGTGGGGAGCCTACCTCCAGCGACTTCAGTCGCCCCAACTCAAGACGAACACTCGGGAAGCAGAGTAAAATTTAGCATATTAGCATACTTGCTAACGAAATGCACCGTGCAGGGGGTAATCGGCATATTCGGTGAGACAGTGTATGGAGTGCAAGAATGGTTCGGAATGACAAACACTCCGTCGTGCATAGCTGTCGGAACAAGGCTTCTAAGACTTATAGCAACCTTCGCAAAGTACTATCACCAAAAACCATAATTAAGAGGAAACGCTGTTACTCACACGCTGAAAGGATGCAACGGATGGTCAAACGACGGCAAACTGCGAAAAACACTGCGTGGAGCAGTAAGCAGGCCTGGATTAACAAGAGACACGAGTCCATAAACGCATGTCCAGGGCTCAGGCATGGCACCCAGAGCCAACGGTGATCCCCAGCAAATCCTATCAACCGCTGTACTCCGGTCAGAAATGCTGTTCATCCTGTTACAAAGTGCATTGGCTGCTTCAACCAAGGAGCCACGAAACTACAATGAAAGGCTACTAAATTTTCGGGTGCTAGCAAGGAACCCAAAATCGAGGTCGTACGGCCCCGGTACTGTGTATACAATGCAACGGAGGGTAGAGATGACATCTTGAATCGGTTGGAAAAGCCGTCTCAGCAGCCAAATCACCATCGAAGTCATGGACCCAGTAGCCACTGGCAGGAATGACGTGTACTTCAGTCCAGGCCGTTGGTCTTAAAAGCCCGCGAAATGCCGCAAGAGAAGTGTGAGTGACACGTGCGGAGTCCCACTACCTTTTTCATCAGATCCAATCACTTAGGTCATAGTAAAAGTTTGTTAAACCATTAACACGATACCGGTACAGCACATGCCCGTGTATCAAAATATGAGACTAAGTCACTACAGCTTAGTACGAGGAGAACTATAAGTCGCAAAAAACATCGACCACCACGAAGGTTGAATTAGCAAAACGCAAACACTTCTTCCAGATGACAAGGGCTTGATGGTGAGTCAGGAGTACATAGGCATGGCCAGTGATAACCATCAGCGACTCGTACATGATCTAAGTGCCATCATCTGGGAGCAATATGCTGCAAAACCGGCAGTTTACTTAACTGAGAAATCTATCGATCCCTTATGAACGATGCTAATAAAACGAAATACCTAGCGGGCACGACGTGCGACTTCACAAGCTCCTTGATTAAATTAAAACCAGAAAAGACGCAGTGCGTGGACACTTTTATTATTAAATGTTACAACACATACGAAGGGAAATATGAAGTCCCCAAAGAACTCGGTGAACAACTGAAAACGCCTTATAGTCCGGAAAGTGGCCAGCTAACTTGGCTTGATAACTCAACAAAGACTACCTAAATGCCCCTCGACGCACGTAGCTATTTAATAAATATCCTCTACCAGCAAACAACTTAAAATTGTACTCCCTAAACGTGTTACCCTACGGAGACCGGCGAGCCTGCATTTGTCAGATGCATCAAACGTAAATCACCGAAACTAGCGTGCAGAACAGTAACACGCAGAGTCAAACTCCCATGAATATGCCCAAATGTCGTCTGGTATTTAGTGTGCAAACCTTCGGAAATGTGGTACGCCAGGAAGTAATTTTCTCGCAACGTGCGCGCAATAACAAGCAGGCGCAATTAATGTCCAGTGACAAGCACTCAGGAAAAACCAAAAGATTCCATTAAAGACGACGTGATATACTCCCTCAGGGTTGTATCTTCAACAGCTGCTACACCAAGTGTAGCAACACGTAAGTGGATTTGGAACGCTGTTGAGCAAAGCAGCGTCATGCGAGTCTGAGCTTCTGCATGGGTAAGCAGAATGCGCAGAATTAAATGGTTGAGGGCGCATTACAGCCCCAGAACTATTTTAAAAGCACATGGCTCGCAATTCATTCTAAAAAAATTATGAAAACGATGTCCTACGCATGGAATCTATCACAAACAACAACCGAACAGTCCAAGCGCGAATTTCCATGTCTGACAGTCCTAACTGGAGCGTTAGAAACGCTTAATGGTCAGAAAATAGGCAAATTATCAAAAACATGACTCAAACTTAGCTATACCAACAAATGGTGTGATCAATGGTGCCGAGGCACGAAAACGCAAGTCACCGGAGATCCAGTCAGATGAAAACACAAGCAGGTCACTTCAAAATGAACAGTCTTCGAACCTTGATGATTCGCTCAATGTCCCATATCGCCTTTGCTGTAGACGCAGCTCATCGACCATCACTAGTGAAAAACAGAAAGAGAGTGGTTATCGCGAACCAGCCAGGAAATCAAACTTCGCCTACATGTGGGAAACTCGCGAAACTACGTGTAGGAAGCAAAGAGGTCGCTACGCATTCCAAACTAACTCTAGTATGTTACCACGACTATTTAAAAAAGAAATAACGAAAATGCACCAGGTAGAAACCAGCCTGGAGCGCGACCGGCGGCGCAAACGCATCCGTACGCGTAGCACCAGCCGGAGACGCGCAGGAAGGCATCACGCCAACGCCGATCACGAGTTTAAACTGACCTGACTAAGGGAAACGAAACAAATGTTAGGCAAGTATGGCCGCCGTTTCTGGACCGGTGATTGGTCAATTCGCAAGTTGTGCTGCAGTAAAACTGTGATATTTAGAAAAACACAGTACAGTTTCAATAAATCAATTTCATAATTCTACAACCGTGCTCGCATCCTACACACGTCAGCTGTTCGTCCCGCTATCTCTTTTCTCCTTCTAGAACTTTGTGTCTGCTCCAGGATGGAGGACGTCTTAGTACTTCAGAAATTGACTTCCGCGAACGTTGTGCACCTCAGTTTGCACATGCTCTTGCCAGACAGGTTAAGACTGCGCCTATCCAAGCTAAGTCAAAACACGGAAAAGTTTATCTCTGGCGCAACTGTGACTCACGTGATTGATAGCTGCCATCGGGTAGACAATAACCAGGCATCGAGTAAAACTTCATCGGACATTCCCCATCGACAGCAGGAAATTTCGCTGGATACATAAATTCCAACAAACCTGAAAGTTTAGATATGTCACCATTGAGGGTTTGACTGTCTCCAAAGACTGACTCCGCCGAAACTTGTTTCGTCTGTCAATCAAGTCTCTGGCAACGCGTTTATGCGGAATTTCCGCTCAAAGGACGCTAGTTAGAGCTTATCAAGATTCTTCAGTTCAGTTCAGTTCAGTTTATTGAGGGCAATAGGCTTAAGCCTTTGAGTACCCTATTTGCAACGTAAAAAATGTGTGGTGTACAGATAGATGTTCTGGGCTGAAGTAGTTCGAACACGCCCATAATGGTGGGACAAAATGATAAGGAGTTACAGGGAGTGAGCTCGACTTCTCATCGCTCTTGGTCATTTCGGGACATAAATATGTCCAGAGTCTTCTTAAAACTTTGTAGAGATGGTGACATCACAACATCTGCGGGAAGCTCATTCCATGGTTTGACCACCCGAACCGAGAAGGAGAACTTTCGCACATCCAGCCGTGCCTGCTGAGTGCGCAGTTTTAACGGGTGACTTCGAAGGTTGCGGCCTAAAGTAAGCTGAAAAAAAATCCACGATGACAGCTACAACTGACGGATCCTTACTTTGCTACTCTCTCTCTCTCTCTCTCTATCTATCTATCTATCTATCTATCTATCTCTCTATCTATCTATCTATTTAAATATCCGATTCTGGATTTACCCAAGGCGCTTTTCGTATAGTATGTGTAGCTACAAAGCCCATCACCGCTTCTAGCCCATTTACTGGACTTTTGTCAAGACCTCTGAATGTTATTTCTTGAAAACTTGAATACACATGCATTCGCATCAGCCAATCTGGGGTATGGCCACGCAAAAAGAAGGTGTGCCATATTCCTGGAGGCTTAAAACACACATTTAATCACACATTTAAACAGCTCAACTCTTTAAGACATCATGTCCACCCCCGACGTAACAGTCACCGTGAGGTCTTTTTATTTCTACGTCTGGCACGTACTGTTACATATCGTCGGTTCTTTTCTGTAAATGCTATTGCTATGTGGAATAAACTACCCAGGAATGAAAAAAATCTGCAAAACTATCCTTTATTTAAGAGAACTATTACTCGATTTTTGCATTCAGAAAAGTTCCCACAAATTTTGGGTGCTGAATCCACCGAACGACTGTACCGTAACGATGGGGTTTGTGGTCTCTGAACACTATGGCCGGTCTCACCAGGGACAATTTCTTTAGCCAACAGCGACAGCTGTTCTTCGGCGCTTCTGGTTGGACTAACCCTAACTTCATGAAAGAAATTGGCGACTGATAATATTCTATATCGTGCAATCCCTCACTTCTTGACGATCGGAAGCTTGTCGACAGCAGTTATTTTTCTCCTGAACCCTCCAATCCATAAAACCACCGTCAACTATATTTTTAATCCATTTCCATAGGAGTTTTTTCTCACTGCTGGCCGGATTTGTGCTTAACGCTTCCCTGAAAATGCCTGTAAACTGGCATTAAGTAAAATAATTATTAATAATTATTATTATTAAGCCCGATCGGACAAAAATTAACATTAAGCTTTGAACTTCTCCATAACTGGATGTCTAAAGATAAGTGGGGAGACTGCGTCTCTGAACATTATTCTGGGTGCGACCGAACGATAATTTTCAGCTCCGTACTGTTACAAAGAATATCTGAGTTAAGAGGAATTCCCTGCGCACCACCAAAGTATTCTGTAGCGGTTGTTTTGTTAGCGATATGTCGGTAGTATTTAAAATTCGCAAGTCTACAATGAAGTCGACACATCTTATTGTGCCCATGATGACGTAGGGTGTAGTTTGAACATAATTCTGGGTTGCGTGCAAGAAACCGGGACTTTTACATATTTGTTGCATGATTCCACTGCAGAGGAAAAGAAGATGTAATTAAAGGATCTAAAGATTCACCTTACTCACAATTGGTCCTAGGCTGGTCAAAATTTCATCGGCTGGCGTACGTCATTGCTTATTATGGTTTACCCTGTTCGTAATCGCTTGAAACACAAGGTTTCTTTTGTCCCAGAAAATGTAATTATTCTACATGTTAACATACCTTTGGTGGGTTCAGTACTGTTCAGTGTATTTGATGGAAGTCGACCTGAGTCTTTTACTCCTCTTTTGTTATACACAAGATGCATGCAGGTTCTGAAAATTTTCCTACAGAGAGATCGTAAACTGTACGCTTTTATTTCCCGAGTTTATTCTTTGGTCCCATTCTAATCGGAGTCCCCCAGGGTTAAGTACTCCAACCCTCACTCTTGCAAGTCCACATCAGCCATTTATGTTTATAGTTTTATTTCTGAAATCTCCTGATTGCACTATTCAAACAAAGTTAGCGTTCAGCCAATTGGTAAAATAAGACAATGGATATAGTAATGGTCCGTACAGACTGTCAGAGGTGTAGTAGAATTAGGAAACTTTACAATGCAGATTAGTCAACTTTTTTCGCGTCCACAGTGATTTGTACACTTGCACACGATAGTTTCGGTGATACTACTAATGATGACAATTATTATATACACGAACTCCGAGTTGGAAATTTTCAGGGAAAATGGTGAGCTACAAACGCAACAGGGGAAAAAACTCCTAGAGTTTAAAATGAGAGGGATTTGGGGATCCTCCCCTTCCAAAAAAATCAGAACACTGTAGAAAGCTGATCCAGAAGGCAACCAGTACTTTACACTGGATCAGACGTGCGTTTAAAATATTCCCTCCCGAACTATTTAGAAGACCTTTCGGCCTCTTTGTAAGACCCTATCAGGAATATGGAATACCAACATCACCATGGATAAAGAAGGATATTGACCAACTCGGATAGGCGTAACGCAGAGCAACAAAGATGGTCGATGGCCTAAAGCATTTGTTGTACCGAGAGAGGCTGAATGCGCCTGTCTTTGTCCCTCTATCCTATCGGCAACTAAACTACAGTCTACTCTGGACATTCCAGATTGAATGTGGCCAAGGCTGTTCAACGAGAATGGAGGATTTTTTGTGATTTTTCAAGTACAAAAGAATTACGTAATGATCCTTACAAAGTTAAGAGCGAACGCATGCGCGTATACCGTAGGACGTCCTCCGTCAACCAGCGGGTTGTCCGATTATGGTACTTGCTACCAAGTGAGATGCTGAAGGCCGGCACAATTCGCATGCTTAAAAGAAAACTTGATCGCGTAATTCTCGCCAAATATCGACTTTCACAACGCGGCTACTTATAGACAGTTTTGTAAAACGATTTGTCATACTCAGTCTTTCTGTACTGACTGGCAGTGAACGGGTGCGCTTCCTTATTTTTAATGTTATATCGTGAACGGTCAACATTCCATATTCTAGCAATTTTATTCCGAGTGCAAATACACGAAATCATTGTGCCTCTGCCTCTAACCCTTCAAATAAAGGTACAACTATCCAGGAGATAAAAACACTTCACGAAGGGACTTGGAGAGGCAGGTTGGGTTCTCCTTGAGGGTAAGGTAAAACTATAAAGGCGAATCAGCAAGTGAGAGCGAAGCGTCGTTTCAGTGCGCAGGGGATTACTAGGTGGTGACAGACTTGGTGGAGCAATAACGGGTTTGAGACCTTGACATTCCAGCGGACAAAACAGAATATTAATAAATAACTTTGATAAAGACCCGTCGGGGTCCCGTCATAGCAAGTAAAGTTAATTTTCATATGAATTTTAGCAGAGGTTGACAGAATCTGAACAATAAGCAATACAAAGTTATTGAGTAAGTAGGCCGTTAAGAAAAATTATGAGCAAGCAGTAAAAACTCCATCACAGAATAAGCCAAATGATCGGATTTATATTAAAGGAGATAAAATTGTCATTCATGAACGGCTAAAAATGCCGGCAGGACTGGCCTGCCTGTGGCAGTGCATAACGGATTATGGCGAAAAAAATGTTATCCATGATAAGGCAAGTATGGGGGTCAGACATGACTGGCCTGTGTGCGGTATCGTATAAGGGATTCAAAACGAACATCGTCAGGGCAGAATGAATACGCTGGATGAGGCTATTCGCGTCAAAGTGGCGAGACGAGAGGAACCCAGATGCGATCGGCTGCTTTCCGTTTCGAGCCCAGCCGAGCAGGGGGCAAGGAGAATACGAAAAAACTACTGGTATATCGAGAATACAGACGGTTCCGCCATGAGCGTCTGTAGAATGCTTGAGGTCGAACTGAGGAGATGACATCAAGAACCGCGCAAATCGTCGCTATGGGGGAGGACTGATAACAGTGGATTTGGTAGCCAATTAAAAACAAGGGGTTGTATGTATGTATTTAAAGGGTTGGAGGCAGGGTCCATGATGACCCCATTCATATACAATGCTCTCGCAGATTCGCACTCAAAATAAAGTTGCAGACATTTACATTGTGATCGGGTCACAGTACAATCGTAATGATAATGAATCACATCTGTTCACTGTAAGTCCGTATGGAAAGATTATGTATGGCAACGTGTTTTACAGAGCTGGCTGTGAGTAGTCATGTTTTAAAAGCCGGGTTTTGTCGAAAACCAAGTGGGCAAGTTTTCTTTTAAACATGCGATTTGTGTCACCCACGCGATCTCGCTTGGTAGCGAGTTCCATGCTCGGTTGTAAAGATATAAGTGAGGGCTTCCACTAAATCCCAAGAGGACCCTTCTCAAATTCAAGAATTTGAGTGTTCGGGAATGAGACGGTTAAAAGTGCCTTTATACCTTTCGGTGTAAGGTGTTTGCGTAATTTCGATTTGAATACCGATAAGCTAGGTGATGAATTAAGTGCTGGTGGGAGATTATTTCAGAGGAAGGCATAATTGGAATCAAAAATGTGGGAGCGCTTAGATATAGCGCAAACAAGCGGCGGAATCATCGTGGAGGGGTTACGCGTAGCATAAGACCGATCTTTCGGAGTTATAATGTTAATGAACGGAAGACTGGAGTTGGAGTTAATGCGAAAAA